ATAATAATAATTGTAATAATAATAATAATAATAGAAAAAGAAAAAAAACTCATGATGAACTATAGAATACTGAATACAATAATTAGATAATAAAAAACAAAAGCCAACCATAGGAAGTCACCGTTTAAAAGACATATGTATATATACAAATTTATATTTGACAAATGTGCATGAGATATATCATTTGAAGATTGAGCAGCATTCAAACATAATGGCACAGCACCGGTAGTCTATCTGACATTATTTATTATTATTAACTATCGGTTGTGTTGGTAAAGAATTTGAATTTGGTTTATCTGATGGAGAATCAACCCAACTATAATCAGGTTTTGTATCAATAGCATCAAGAAAATCAATTTCCATATCCTATGAAACATAAATATATATACATACATGTAAATTTCAAATTCATAAAAATAACTTACGACAACAACATTCGTTGCTTCACGATGAAGTACTTCGAAAATACATTTTTGTACTTGTCCATCCGTATTCATTTGTAAACAAAGTAGACGTTCAGCAACTAAATCGATAAGTTTTCATTTAGATATAAGATAACTAATGACTTTCTTTACAATATCTCTATATATTTATGTCATAAGTAGATCTCAATACTACTAATGGAATTTTACATGAATAAACATAAGTGAGTAATTGAACGTAAATTACATCCGTTTGTCATATTTATGTTGTCTAACTTTATGAATGAACTCTCTCAACTAGAAATATCATATATGAGATCGATTTATAACTTACTCAAAGCATCCAATGCTCTTAATTTTGATAGAAGAAGAAGTAATTTTGAAAAATGTACTTGATCATTAGCACGATTTTTTGTTATATATAATCTTTCAGTTTCACAATAACGTGTTTGAATTTGTTCAACTTTATTTCTCGTTGTTTCACCTTCAATTCGATCTATTCAAAAAAATAAATATGAGAGAATTATTTCATATTCTAAAAATGAATATTTTTTTGCTTTTACCATGACTAAAAAATATAATAGAACAAAGAAGTACAAATTCTTCAATGGTTAATTCTAATCGACTAAATATTCGACAAAATTGAAAAAATGTATGTCCATAACATCCAAAACCTTGTGTCATAAGAATATTTTCATCAACTGTTAAACCATTTGATAAATATAATTTATCTTCTTCTGGTTCATAACGATAAGCTAAACGAAGTAATGCAACACCATGTACACCTAATTTAAGTAGATGTGCACGTTCTTGAATGGATAATTCATCATTCCCTGGCATTTGCATACAAAATTGTATACATTGCATAATACCCTTTTGACTAAATTCATCCGTTCTTTGCCAACAAAGATCTGGTTTTTCCTAAAAGTAAATAAAATATATAGAATTTTTTGATTCAATTTTAAAGATGAAAATCCTTAAAGTAGATCCGAACTAGAGATGTGCGGGACCGGGATCAATACTTGAATCTGAGGCTACATGATGACTTTATTCAAGAAAAATGAACCAAAAAAGTACTAATCGTCGACTAAACAAATTAAAAAACGAGTATTGAAGAATTGTTTTAGAAATTCTATGAATAATTTTGGATTAATTGTCTCTGGAACGATATTAGAGACGAGCGGGATCAGTTTCAATCGCCGGGACCAAAAAAAAAGCTTTACCAGGACTGGCACTGGGATCTGGATCTAAAAAGGTTGGCCCCGCAAACCTCTAACCCGAACCTATTCTATAGATTTAGTACATAACTTTTTATTGAAAGTACATTTCTAATTTGAATTCTACAGGTACTCATGTCGTGATCCTCATTGACTACACCGACCTTACATAGATCTCATGAACTATTTCCGCAAAACACGTCTCTTCTGATCGTAAAATCAAGGTTATCAAAATTTTAATTCATTTACATCGATTTCTTGTGAAGGTTTGAAATTAAATGTTGATTTATGTAAATTAACACAAATATTAATCAATTTATCACCATCAATCGGTGATATTTTTGGTTCGACAACGACGACAGGTGGTTCATTGGATGGCACTACTACTGCTGGAGTTGTTAAACGTTTTTTTTGACGATTATTTGTCGGTTTTACAT